GCCCTAGTGAGCTCCCTACAGATTTTAGTTCCCACTTTATTCTTGATGAAATGAAGTTCATCTTATCAAACCTTGGTCACCGTCAGACATGACAAGAAAGCTTTGATTGTAAGGCTTCTGCTGACACTGAAAGCTAAAGGGAGTCAGCAGTTGGCCCTTCTAAGACTACAACTGAAAAATATTTGTGATGAGAATAAAGCACAACTTGCCTACACAGTTTCTGAAGTGCATCAAAGAACTCTGATGAGATATGGCCACAAAGTATCTACTTCTGCCTCATTGAAAGACAGTAGTAGAACAGGAAAGGTATTCCAGATCTGAAGGGAGCTTGTCTGCTGCCTGCTTGCTCAGTACTTCATCCTTCGTTGTGGTGGTCCTTTACTTTGAAACAAACAAACAAACTTTTTAAGGAAAAAATTCCAGATACTATCCATTTTAGTCGAGCTCCTTTCTGGTTAAATTGCAGTTATGGCTGAATTAGATACTGTCATTCCATATGTTAAGACACACTCAGCCAGATTAAGGGATCCAAGCAATAAAATAAACTTTCCCTAAAGTATTACCGAAATAAATCAGAAATAGGATGCCAGTTATCTCCTTACCTAGCTGGTGATATGCAGATTGGACAAACTCTGCCAGAGAAGATTAAACTCTCCAGGAGAATTTATAAAAAAAATAAATAACTCACTCTTTACCATCAATTCAAAATAAATTCAAGAGTACAGCGTGTGTAATCAAACTTTTATCTTGAACATAAAGAGTCCTGTAAGTGTAACAGAAAATACATTTTCCCTGCTCTGCCAAAGAAATACTTTAAAAGTATTTGAAAGATACTATTTGCAAGGAGTAAAAACATCATTAAGTTGCCCAATGAACCCACACACGTTGGCCCACTGAGGGACACATCGGAGGAAACCAGGAATTGCTCATCCTGTACCTGCCCTTAAGCTTGCCCTCTCAGTGAATGACACCAAGTCTTAGCCAGCTGACAAATGGGTAGGAATCATCTTGTCATCTTCCTCTCCTACATCCCTCACCGCCCATCCATAACTAAAGCATTTCTCTATTCAGCTTCAGAACACATTTTCAATCTGTCCATTTACCCAAGCCTATTCCTATGACCCTAATTGAGACCACTTCTATTCTGGCTTGAATTAATGCAACAGCTTCAGGAGTTTCAACTTTTTTCCTCCTGCAAGTCTATTTTTCATGCCACAGTCAGATTAATCTTCCCAAAAATATAAGTCTGATCATGTTACTCTTTTGCATAAAACACTTTAATAGCTTGCTGTTGCCCTCAGGATAGAGTGAAAATAGCTTATCATGGTTTACAAGCCTCTTGTAAATCATTCCTCTAATTACCTCTTCGACCTCTTTTCTGTTTCTCTCCTGTATTTGCTCCAGCCGGTCTGAACGACTTTAATTCGCCAATCACAGAGGGTTTCCATTGCTTCCATGCCTTTGTACTCCCTATTTCCTTTGCCTAGAACTCACTCTCTCTCTCTCCATGAAGGATGATGGTGGGGGCTAGGGAGTGAGAATGGAAATAAACTGTTGCTGGGTTTACTATGTATTTTACCTGAAGCAATTTGATGACACCTCTAAGTAGATTGTGATAAATTAAAGATGTATACTATAATCCTTTGAACAAATAAAAATAATGTACATAAACATACACAGAAAGGCTAAAGAATTGAAATGCAATACTGAAAGATTAAAATAGAAAAAGACAAAAAAGGAACAAAAAATTCAAATGGTGACAGATAAGACAACAAATAGCAAAATGGCACCCCAAAATGCAATCATTTTAGTTAACTATATTTGGTATAAGTGGACAAAACAATCTAACAAAAGGCAGAGATTGCGGAGATCGTGAGATCGATTGAAAAGCCAGAACCAACCACATGCTGGCTATAAAAGAAACTCTAACTACAGAGACACAAATATGTTGAGAGTTAAGAATGGAAAAAGGTATACCATGAGAACATTAAGCTCAAAGCTAGAGTGGCTACAGTAATCCTTCAAAATGAGTTGAAGACAAGTATTACTAGAGACAAAGATGAACTCTTTCTAATGATAAAAGATCTGTAAAACAATCTCAGTAGGTTTCGAAGGATTGAAATGTTGCAGAGCAGTTCTCTGACCACAACAGAATTAAATACATAAAATACAGTAAGACTCTAGAAAAGATCTAACTACATACTTGGAATAAGGTAACTCTATCCTAAACCATCCATCAGCAAAAAAGAAGCATAAACTAAAAAAAAAATGTTGTCACTGAATAAGTTTTATATATATATATATATATATATATATATATATAAACTTCTGAAATGCAATTAAGCATTTTAAAAGCTTATATTAGAAATGAAGGTCTAAAATCAATGATCTACGGTTCCACCTTAGGAAGATAAGAAAACCAGACGAGCCATACCAAACCTGATGAACCTGTACCAAACATCTGTGCACACTAAATTATTTCCTTATGATATATCGTCAGAAAAAAAAAATATGGCTCATCAGATCAATCCTCTTCTGGAAGCAGTAGCTATGTTTATGGCACAGATTGTGGTGATAGATTCACAGATGTCTACTTACCTCCCAACTCCTCAACTTGTATACATTAAATATATAATTTTTTGTATGTCCATCATCCCTCAATGAAGTGGCTTTTAAAAATTCAAAGTTAGGGAAAAAATGGTCCAAAGGAATGCACATATTGAACTTAGATATATTTAAGTTTAATGTATCCAGTAACCTCCTCACTGTTGCCCCTGAACCTCCTGAAGGCTCTACCTGTTTTCTATTCCATCAGTTCCTTCTACTCTTGTTAATTCTGGGTAAAAATAGGGATTGAACTTAGGTAAAAATGATATGTTCCTGTTGTTTAACCTGCATTTCTTTGCTTACTAGTGAGGTTGGTCATCTTTTCATATATTGATTGATTAGCTGTTTTTAGTGTTTATTACATTCGTTGCCTCATTTTCTATTGACATTTACCTCTTTTCCTTGTTGATTAATAAGAGCTGTTTAATACCAAGTTGATCATGGGCTTTGGGTGCTCAATGTGCATGTTGTTTACTTGTTATGCTATTATTTTTTAGATACATACAATCAAATAGACCATTTTCTTTCATGGTTTCTGGCTTTATTCATAGAAAATGCTTTTCAATTCTATTATAAAATTATTGAATTTTCTTCTAATACATTATCTGTTCATGCATTCTAGTTCTTAATTCATCTGGAATTTATTTTATTGGACCAAATGAAGTTGTGTATCTTTTCCCACTAAATATCTAACCAATCATTTATATCTTTCTCACTGAATTAAAATGCCAACTTTCACCTATACTAACTTTTCAAATATACTTTATGTTAATTCTTGACTGTATTTTCATGTAGTGTACTGCTTTATTTTTGATATCTGGTAGGGTCTGTTGCCATTACTACTGTTTAATATTTCTGATTACTCTCATATTTATCTTCTTTCAAATTTCTCTATATACATAGATCACAGAGATATATTTGGATTTGAAAAACAATGTCCTTATAATATTGAATCTATTAAAATAAATAGTATATGTCTCTTTTTTCTAAGTTTTGTTTTCTTAGTAGGGCTGAGTGTTTGTCATAGTCTGTATTTCTCATTAAATTATTCTAAGGAATATAATTTTTTCAGAGATGCTGTGACTAATCCTTTGTGATGATATTTTCTAAATGTTTTTATTTTGTACCATGTTAATTTATTCTATTCTCATCATTTTTCAGGTAATTTAGACATTAATTTGATCTACAAACAATGCTAGTTTTACCCCATCTTTTCCAATAATACCAACTCCTATGTTCCTAGATAATGGATTTTGGAGAACTGTCTGAATCTTTGCCTTGTTCTTACATTCAGGGGCACTTCTCTAGTAATTCACCATTAGGGTTGATCCTAGTTATTTTTTTATGGATATATTTATTTAGATGTAGACATACCTTTACATGGAGATATAGACATACATGTGAACACTGTGAATGGAGAATTGTACTTTCAATTGCTCTTTTAGGAGTGAATACTGAAGGTGATCAAATACCTTTTTATCTAAAAATACTGTTTTACACTACTGAGACTTGTGTAAAATATGGTGTTTATGGATGACGTGTACCCCACAGGATCTCACGTGGAGAAGCAAAGCTCATCAGTTTAATATGTTCACTGGGTTTGAAATTGAATATGAAAGGATAGTTCATTTATTATTTAAAAACTTTTTCCTTCTTTAAAATTACGACTCTTCCCACTCTTAAAGCATTTTCATCATCATAGCCCTTATGGTGCCTTGATTCCGTCTCTTCCCTACAACAAACACAAAGCATACAAAGAGATTTTGAGGATCTTTTCGCTTACCTCAAAAAAGAAAACCCCTTCATAAATGAAGACTTACTGAATGTTGAAGGATGCATACCTTCTAAGGGGCAGTTTTTAATAGAAAGCTTATATCTGAAGGAAATAAAGCCTCAACCTCTTGTATTGAATGTAACTTTGTTTGTACTTTGAACCTAAGAGCCTGATATCAAATGAAGTTTCTATTAGCTTCATTTATATCCCAACATTACAGATGCAGACACTGATTCAAGCTGAATAGGTTTCCTCTTAGCCATTGACCTCTGTTGCTTGAGTTTGAGTTCAACATGGAGCCTTTTGTGAAATGCATGCTGTTGTGCCTCACATTCTGTGCCAGACGGTGTATTAGTCTCCTTATAATTGTTCAATACTGACATTGTCCTAATTCTAGGATGCTATTACTATCGTCATCCTCATTTTACAGCCAAGAAAACCAACATACAGAGAGGTGCATCAACTTACCCCATGTGGCTAATAAGGGTAGCCCTCGGGTTCAATCCCAGATCAGTGCGATTCCCAATCCAGGGTCCTTTCCATCGTACTTGCTGCCTTCTTGATGTCCCTTTACCTATCCATGTCCTAACTCAACTTCTCTTCCTGCCTCCTCCTGCAGGCCCGTGACCAAGGTGTAGACTAAGAGGTGGAGTCATGCTTCACACGGCCAGATCATGTTGGCAGCCATTCCTGGGTCTGGCTGTGGTGTTCATCTTCATGGGTTCCACCATTGGCTGCCCCGCTCGCTGTGAATGCTCTGCCCAGAACAAATCCGTTAGCTGCCACAGAAGGCGGCTCATCGCCATCCCCGAGGGCATTCCCATCGAGACCAAAATCTTGGACCTCAGCAAGAACAGGCTGAAGAGTGTCAACCCTGAGGAGTTCATATCCTATCCTCTGCTGGAGGAGATAGATTTGAGTGACAACATCATCACCAATGTGGAGCCAGGAGCTTTTAACAATCTCTTTAACCTTCGTTCCCTCCGCCTCAAAGGTAACCGCCTGAAACTGGTCCCCTTAGGGGTCTTCACGGGGCTATCCAACCTCACCAAGCTGGACATTAGTGAGAATAAGATTGTCATTTTACTGGACTACATGTTCCAGGACCTGCACAACCTGAAGTCTCTAGAGGTGGGGGACAATGATTTGGTTTATATATCACACAGGGCCTTCAGTGGGCTCCTGAGCTTGGAGCAGCTCACCCTGGAGAAATGCAACCTCACAGCTGTACCAACAGAAGCCCTTTCCCACCTCCGCAGCCTCATTAGCCTGCATCTGAAGCATCTTAATATCAACACTATGCCCGTGTATGCCTTTAAAAGACTGTTCCACCTGAAACATCTAGAGATTGACTATTGGCCTTTACTGGATATGATGCCTGCCAATAGCCTCTATGGTCTCAACCTCACGTCCCTCTCGATCACCAATACCAACCTGTCCACGGTCCCCTTCCTTGCCTTTAAACACCTGGTATATCTGACCCACCTTAACCTCTCCTACAATCCCATCAGCACGATCGAAGCTGGCATGTTCTCGGAACTGATCCGCCTTCAGGAGCTTCATATAGTGGGGGCCCAGCTCCGCACCATTGAGCCTCATTCCTTCCAAGGGCTCCGCTTCCTTCGTGTGCTCAATGTGTCTCAGAACCTACTGGAAACTTTGGAAGAGAATGTCTTCTCCTCCCCTAGGGCTTTGGAGGTCCTGAGCATCAATAACAATCCACTAGCCTGTGACTGCCGTCTCCTCTGGATCCTGCAGCGGCACCCCACGCTGCAGTTCGGGGGCCAGCAGCCCATGTGTGCTGGCCCCGACACCATCCGTGAGAGATCATTCAAGGATTTCCACAGCACTGCCCTTTCTTTTTACTTTACCTGCAAAAAACCGAAAATCCGTGAAAAGAAGCTGCAGCATCTGCTAGTGGATGAAGGGCAGACAGTCCAGCTCGAATGCAGTGCTGACGGAGACCCTCAGCCTGTCATTTCCTGGGTGACACCACGCAGGCGTTTTATCACCACCAAGTCCAATGGAAGAGCCACCGTGTTGGGTGATGGCACCCTGGAAATCCGCTTTGCCCAGGATCAAGACAGCGGGATGTATGTCTGCATCGCTAGCAATGCAGCAGGGAACGACACCTTCACGGCCTCTTTAACTGTGAAAGGCTTCACCTCAGACCGCTTCCTTTATGCCAACAGGACCCCTATGTACATGACGGACGCCAACGACACCATGTCCAACGGCACCAATGCCAATACGTTTTCCCTGGACCTTAAAACAATACTGGTGTCTACAGCCATGGGCTGTTTCACATTCCTGGGAGTGGTTTTATTTTGTTTTCTCCTCCTTTTTGTGTGGAGCCGAGGGAAAGGCAAGCACAAAAACAGCATTGACCTCGAGTATGTGCCCCGAAAAAACAATGGTGCTGTTGTGGAAGGGGAGGTGGCTGGACCCAGGAGGTTCAACATGAAAATGATCTGAGGGTCTAGAGCTCACACTGTTGTTTCCAGGTCGGTGTTGGTCACCAGTGAGATAGCTGGCACAGTCAATTACTAGGTGAAAAGGTGGCCTCAGGCGGCTGCCCCTGTGTCCAAGCAGGGTCCACAGAAGCAGCAGGACTTCGTCTGGAGACTCTCCACCGAGAGGCAGGCAGACACGTGTCAGAGCCCTTCACAGTGGGATACTAATTGTTTGCATTGCAAATACTGGCATTCTGGGGATCTCAGTAATGAACCTGAACCTTCAGCTCATGCTCACGGACAGTTACTCAACATTTTCTACCACGGCAAAAACAAAAGGAAAAAAAAAAAAAGGAACAACCTACAATGTAGGATTTACGTATTAAAAAGACACATTTGTCTAAAACATACTCTACAGAAAAATTTGTATCTATGATTCTCATTTGTTAAAGCCTTGCATCATACCGTATTGTTGATTCAGCACCACAAAGAAATCAATATATTCTTTACTTTTTTTTTTGAAACATATATGCTGTATATGTTTTAAAGCAATATGAATGAGAGGTTGTGCTTTTAGTTACTCACCACTATAGATCCAAGTGTGATATCACCTTCCTTTCCATACAGATGACCCTGAGACTAGATCCCTGGAGTTATGGGCAGAGAGATGCGGAATGATGCGTTTGTCTGATGTAGGATGCCAAGAAATAGAGCCCAAGGCAAAACTGCTCAACTCTGTTAACTTCTGTTACTATAAATAAAGGCATGTGCCTAGTTTTGATACAGAATGGAATATTTTTTATACTTGTGATATCACCCTGGACCAGTTTACTGTAACAAAGCCCTTGGTTTCTCCGGAAGGTTGTATGCCACTAGTTGTACCTGTAAAATGCAAGGTAGGTGTTCATGATGAAGATGATCCATTTAAACACAACTTGATTTTACTTTCATCAGTTACTACTACTGGGTTAACAGAAAGAGCATGTAGTTATCTATACTCATAGGGTAATATTTACCTTGTAGAAGAGATCAAGAATTTGGATATGAAAAAGCTCTGTGGATAAAAGGGAGTTCTTCTCAGATGCCAGCACAAACCAGGGTGATCCAGGCATCACGTGATGTTAACGCAACTAAAGATCTCTTACAATGATAGCTGTTTGAAGGCTGGATTGCTGCCAGTCAAAGGAAATATCCAGCTACCACTCTGATGTTTTCTATTCAAATATTTACTGTACGTATAGTATTACCTTGAATGGGTAACTTCAGGGCTTTTCCCTGCTTCCTTTTAGCTTGAGAATTATCTTGTGTACACAAAAGGAATCTGTCTCATTGTTAAAGACGTGAGGAGAAACAAGGTGAATTAAAAAGCATTTAAGTTCAAGAGCCCTACCGATAGGTTAAATTGTGCAGATACTTTTACCCCTCTGACCCAAGGATCTCAGTCCAGTTCAGTTTGTATTAATGATTGTTACTGAGAGTTAAAACATTATAGCGTTTGTTTGTTTTTTAATGGCATCCTGCCCCTACCACCAGTGATCTGGTTCCAATGAGACATAATTCCATTTGGCTAGATATTCAGTGAATGCCTTTCAAGGCATATATTCATATGACCCAAGAAAGCACTGAATACAGAGTGGATTCATGAAACGTGATCTATTTAATCAGCAAAGGAGAGATAGGAAATGGCTATACTTTGTACATTTGAGAGGGACCTGAAAGTGAGCCCCCTTTTGGACAGTGAAGAAGAAGTTTCTGAGGTTTGTTTCTTGACATATCCTCCTGGGGGGTTGACTTTCAAAAAGCTGGCTTTTTTTTTTTTTTTGGTAGCATTTAAAATTTTGAGGAGCTTCGATAAAATTAAATTGACCCCAATAAAGAAGTGACAGGTCCAGAAATTGTTTTGCCGATTGGATAGTAGCACAGTTAAACCCCTTTCTCCCTTAATAAAGGGTGGAAATGAGACAGAAAGATTGAAGAATTGCCTGTTGAAGTCATTTTTCATTTAACTTTCCTAATGGCCATCATAGATCTTTTAGAAATTCATTTTCCACTTTTGGAAATTACTTTATATTACATATCCAATAATACAAATCAAGACTTTTTTGCAATTTCTATTTCCTGTGTGCAGGTGGAATGGGGTCTTTCAAACTGAAAAGAAAAAGTGGAGAGCTACTCTTCCACAACTTAATAGGAAATACTTCATCTTAATTTTGCAACATTGTAATTGCAACCCATTGTCCAACAACAAGAGACACATGGAGCAATTAATAAAAGGGCCTTGTGATTGTAACTGCTATTTTCTGTTAAAATAAAAGTGGACCAAAAACAGCTTAGTCAAATGAAATTGAATTAAAGTTAACCCATCCATGAAAAGATTAAGTGAAAAGATTTTGTGATTATTCCACTGGAAGAAGAGAGACTGTTCTCTTTCAGGGGCTTCCATACTCTCATCTGTGGAACAACAGGTGTTTAAGATATCAGAAAGCATCCTTCCAAAAAAGAGACTGGATAGACTACTAAATTGGGAAAATGCTGCATTCTTTAACCACCTCTTGACGTTCAAAATATACATGAGCCTACTAAATCCTCTGCAAGTCCTATAAAAAACAATTCTGTTTAATATTGCTCACCTTATGGTTTCTCTATTTATTTGAGCACGAAGCTCTTCCTTGTCTGATTTGACTGTTAACATCTTGAAAAACGAGTTCCGTCAAACCCAGTTTGGTCAACAGTGAACTAAAGTAGTGCTCTTCCGAAGTAGTCCTAAACTCAGTGTTACCACTAAGAGTAAAATTGCTATTTGAAGTGGACTCCAACAGATAACAAAAAATCTATCACCTGCACATGTGATCTGATCGTAAGAATGTATTGGCCAGGTATTTCTATGAGAATCTACTTTCCACCAGAAACATCACAGTAATGCATTTGTAGTTAATTGAAAGGCTACTTAATTTTCTCTATTTTCACTAGCGGTGCAGATCTTGGGCTCCTTTTTTTTTTTTTAAGATTTTATTTATTTATTTGAGAGATAGCACGAGAGGGAAAAGGGTCAGAGGGAGAAGCAGACTCCCTGCTGAGCAGGAAGCCCGATGCGGGACTCGATCCCAGGACTCCAAGATCATGACCTGAGCCGAAGGCAGTCGCTTAACCAACTGAGCCACCCAGGCGCCCTCTTGGGCTCCTTTGTATATCTGTAAAGCTCCGACCATGGGTTCCACTAACTAGCTCTGGGGCTTAGCATGGAGTTACACACAAGGAATCTTCCCTTATGGCTTTAAATTACCTCTTTGTTAGAGCAAAGTAGACCATGGTAGAGAGTAACAGCTCAGAGAGCACATGGGCCAAATTCTCTCCTAAGTAGACCTCTCTGAGTCAACCTCTTTCCAGAGGATTTGTCTTAAAGTGTCCCAAGAACAAATATAGTTGTTTGGCTCACCACTAAGTTTTGGGTTGACCCATTCAGTTGTGTGTGTTGATATCATTTTCAGATAAATGTTTATTTTCTCTAAGCATTAAATCTCTAGAAGAACAAATTCTCTGACTAGAGCCCTAGTAGTCTGAGAGAATTGATCCATGTCCCTAACTATCTGAAGTTCATATTACCATAGTAAGGTAATTCACCAATCGAGCTCAATGTGTTCCTGATGAGGGATTTCTACTTGTCCAAATTCTCCTAGTACTCACTTTTTTAAAACCTCATTTCATTTTCATTGCATTTATAGCTATGAGCTTTTCAAATATTCTCAAAATCTGAAAGTGTAAGCCAAGAATTGCCAAGATTTACACATCCTAGTTCCTGAGGACGTGGGTCAGATTTCTAGTTTTGCTCAAGCTTCCAAGAAATTTTGCTTCTCACCAGCAACTCCCCAGTACTATGAAGGCATTCAGGATTTGCCCTATACAGTCAAGGTTGGATTCTTTTTTCATTGTTCTGTCAAATATTTTGCTCTCCTCAGTTCTCAGAAAAGCCCAGAAGTTATATAATCTTCTATGACTTTTTTTAAAAGGATTATTTAAATCTCACCTGCATTGAAGCCTGACTTTTGTCACTTTCCACGACTCAAGTAGGAACAAATATATTTATATTTTAGAAAGTACAAAAGAGAGGATGTGATCTTGGAGAAGAAAAATTGAGTACAGCCCCATGTAAATTAACTTACCCTTCCAGGTCCTCCTTTCATCTCTGGGTCGAGACATTTGTTTTAATTTCAGGGACTGTGCTCAGAAGCTGTTCAGCAACATGTAATGTGTCTTGAGGCTTTCTAGGAAAGAAAAAAAATACATCATTTTCAGTGTAGAAGGCTAAGACTTAACAAAAAGACATTGAGGATTTAAAGAAAGGTTAGGAGATACTTGGATCCATTTTAATTCTATTTCCTCTACTGCTAAAATTTATAGTTACTATCTTCTGAGAAAGAATCCTAAATTATCTTCTTTAAATGTAGTTTCTGCTTTATCCCTGTTTCCTACATCCCAGTCACCTTTATGTAGCTCATACGATCTATTCCAAATGGATTTTGTGGCATATGAACCTAGTAATAAAACCTTTGGGGTCGAAGCCATTCATTCTACTTGGTACTTAGGTAAAGATACAACATTCTTTATTACTAGGATTAGGTTCTAGCAACATTCCCCATTGGACTTGTACATCCTGTGCCTATTTCCATGGACTTTCCACCATTGTCTCTGTCCTTTCTGCTAAAATCCTTGGTACTTTCTGTTCCAGGAGTTTTAGAGTTACTTTGCCTTTGTGTGTGGGAAGCCTTGAAGAATGCAGTATCATGATTTGTTGATTTCAGAATTACATGCATTGGTTAGGCACCAGAGGGTGCTTCCTGATATGTCGGCAAACACTTGATGAATCTCTGTTGCTGTCCCCTTAGCTCCTTCAAAAGCCATCCCTAAGAGAGCACTCTCTTTCTCCCTGTAGTGAAAGTATGGCGACAGGGAAAGGGCAGCTTCACGACTTAAGTCTCCAAGATCAAAATGACAGCTGATTTGCTACAGTATTTACCTATGTCATGTAACAAAAACTGGGTCTCGGGGCCATAAAAGTTTAGATTTGCAAGGTTTAACCAAGTCAGCTATGGTTTAAATCAACAATGACAGGTTTTCAAACCCAAAATTGGTTCATCTGTTTTGGGGGCAGTAAATGTGGCTGTATTTCTCAAAAAAAAAAAAAAAAAAAAGAGAATGAAAACTGCTTATCTTGTGTTAGCTTTGCCTATGATAAAATGTTTGCAGCAAATATATATATATGTATATGTATGTATATATTATATATAGAAGATTAAGAGGTTTGTAAAAGGTTTATTTTTCTAAAACAGGCCTGGAGCTGATGTTCCTCTTTCAAAATACGGGAATCTGATCAAGACACACTTGCATGTGCCTCAGATGGCCCGTCTCAGTTGGCCAAGACCTTTCATGCCACTTTTCCCTCCCCCGCCCCCATCTCCCTGGAGAATATCTGGAATGGGAAGGAGGAAGAGAGCAGGGACTACGCAGTCCCCAGAGCAGAAAGCTCTGGTCTCCCCCAATTTCCTGCCTCCTTTCCTGAGACCACAGTTGAAATGCCCCCTCATTCTCCAGCTCTGCCCTCCACGGCAGTGTCATCGCCCTGCTGCTGTCACACTTCACCAATGAATGCTCTCTCCACGGATAAGTCTCTTTCACTGGTACTCAGAAATTATAGTGTAACTGTTAAACTGGAAATTGCTTAAAAAAAAAAAAAAAAGCTCCAGCCTATCTCCCATAACACTTTAAAAGTTAAGACTTACCAT